CATTTTTTTAGTCATCCTATTAACATTATTGGCAAGAGTTATAAATACTGTTAGTCAGGCATCTGACTTTTGACCCCCTTTTTTAAGGAAACAGTTTTTGCCTTCGATACCTCCTTCTTCGTGATTTCACCAGAAAACAGTAAGGAAGGTGTTAAGGATTTCTGGCAGCACTTTTGAAACCCACAGCTTTCCGTGCACACACACACAAATATTAAAGGTCTCATCACTTTTTGTGCTAGCACAGCAAAAGGAAGGAAATATCCAAAAGCTTTTCTTTACAGTGAGACACATTATAGGATCACATAAAATAATGAAACGTTCTTTATGAGGATATCATTGTTTTACCCAGACCCTTAAGTATCAGAATTCACTGGCAAGTGCAGCCTGGGCTCAGGGGCACCTGCCTGAACCTCCTGCAGCCACAGTGGGGGACACTCAGACCACACTTTGAGCCATATTTGATCCTGGATCATTCATTCCCATTCAGTGCATTTTTTCCAGTGTCTAGCCTCCACCAGGCACTGTCCTGGTTCTGTAGTCACTACAACCATGACTGAGACAACATAGTTCTCAAGGGATTAATGTCCTATCGCCCAAATAACTGACATCCCAAGACCCCACTTTCCTTTACCTCTATGAAAGCAACTGACTGGGGCTCTGGCCATTCTTTTAATTTCTCTGGTCTGAAATGTTCACCATAGGTGGGCACTTTCTTGGAAGCCACAGGTAATAGAATTCCTGAAGGGAGAGAGTAAACTGAAGAGACTTAGGCAGAAAGGGTTTGAATCCTGGCTCTGCCACGTGGTAGAGTTGCTAAATAAAATAAACGGAAAGAAACCCTTGGCACCTGGGTTTTGAAAAGGGTCATGATGCTTCCTCCACATGTTGCCATGGGGTCACCTGCCCGGCCTGGGCCACCCTCTACTCCTGCCATGCCACCATTGCACCATGGAGGGCCCCACCCCCACCCCTGACTGCCACCCCACACCCCTGGAGCCCCCGCAGGTCTCCGTGGAGTGCCTGGCCACTGGGACCTCTAACCCACCACTAACCCACTGCCAGCCAGTGAACCAGTGAACCGAGGATTGTAAGAGAGGAAAAGGGAGTGTCCTTGTAAAACCAGACTAAAGTACTGGGCTGAAACCTGAGCCCCACTTCCCTGGATGCCCCTTAGATCAGGGATCTAAGGGATTAGGGATGTCAAGGGTGGGGGAGGTCATGGAGGAGGAGAGCCCAGGGAGAGGCCGCACCCATGCACATGGAGCTTTAAACTGCCCAATCCAACACCACCCTAGGTTGTTTCAAATAAATGGACATTTTGCAAACGAATACTAGAGATATATGGTTTACCTGTGTGATCTAGGTCTACATACAATTAGGAGAGGGGTGACTTTTAGTGTTCTCTTTGCCTAAGGAAAAAATTCTGCTCCCCTGTGTTCTAGGCCTTACTGTGTCAGACTCATCATGAGCCAGAGGATGATCTGCAGAATCAGAATCAGCAAGTGGGTAATCATACTCAAAATGAATTCTTAAATTTTCTAAACTGTTAGAAAAACCTGGGGAAAATATGCGGCAGTGGATTTTAAGGGTGCCTGACCAAAAGGGGCACTACCTTGATTTAGGAAAGATCAAGTAAATTGAGATACGCACTCAGTAAGGTAGCTATCATTATTTTTATTGGATTTTTCAGACAATATTTAACTTCTGGGGAAAATACATTTGCAATAGCTGTCAATACATGGTAGTGTGATTTCTTAATTATCATACAAACACTGAACTCAAAAATGAAGTGTTTACTGCAGGTGCTTGAGTCCCTTCCTTGTTCCTCACCCTGAATAGATCCTGCTGGCAGATGGCTTCCTCTGGAACAGCCTTCTTTTGTGTCCTCTTACCAACCAAGGATCAGAGTGTGTGCTCTTTGGTTGCTAAAACCTTCTGAAGGTGACAGGAAAGAAGAGTGAACATGTGATAGAGGAATGGGGAGTTTATGAGAGCAGAAAGAGTTCCTCAGCCCAGCTGACCTGACCTCCGTGAAGCTTAGTCCTGCCAGAGGTGAGTGACTCATCTCACAGGCAAAGGCCCCACCTAAACCTGTCTCAGCCTCTGCTCACTCTATCTGGATTCAAAACATGCAGAGATTCTGGGATACAACCAACCCTATCATGGGGGAGGGGAGGGCGGGTCACTGATGTGTGATATGAGTTGAAGGACTCCCTATGGGGTCCTCTTTCAGATTGTCAGGATGTCTGGAGTACTAATTTACACTACAATCATTGTGATTTAGAAAAGACTACCTTCCTTTATTCCCTTTTTTCAAACCTCTGAATCTTAATCTTCCACCTTCACTATCAGCTGAAAAATGACCTTCTCACTTCACTGAGAAAATTAGGTAAACAGAAGTAAACAATGTTCCTTCACAAAATTTACCAAGCCATATCCACATACTCTGCCTTCTTTCCTTTTACAATGCATGCATGGCTTGTCCTGTACTCCATTTGAGTCCTGAATCCCACCTCTTTACAAGTAAAGGGGGTAGGGAGCATAGGGGAACTATTTTAACAAGAAAAGTTAGAAAAGGCTTCTTCTCTGAGAAGGTATTTGTGCAGAGGTCTGGATGAACTGAGGGAATGAGACATAGAGAGATCTGGGGAAAGAGTGTTCCAGGTAGGACTGACAGAAGCAAAAGCCTGAGATGGGAGTTAAGTTGATACGCTCAGAAAACAGAAAAAGGCTGGTGAGGCTGGAGCATAGTGCATGTGGAGAGAAGGCAGGGAGTGAGGTTGGAGGGGAGGCAGGTGCCTAATGGTACAGGGACTTAGAGACCATGGTAAGGAATTAGAATAAAATCCAAAGTGTGAAGGGAAGCCATTCAAAGATTTTGAGGAGAGGAGAAATCAGGTCTAACAGTTTTAAAGTTTGTTTTTTTTTATTTACTTATGATAGTCACAGAGAGAGAGAGAGAGGCAGAGACACAGGTAGAGGGAGAAGCAGGCTCCATGCACCGGGAGCCCGACGTGGGATTCGATCCCGGGTCTCCAGGATCGCGCCCTGGGCCAAAAGCAGGCGCCAAACCGCTGCGCCACCCAGGGATCCCAGGTCTAACAGTTTTAAAAAAATATAGCTTCTGCATGTAGAATGTATTATACAGGGGCAACCGCAGATGCAGGAAAACCAGTTAGGAGGCCAATGCATTAGGCCAGTTAGGATCACAATGGCTTGAACTGGTGAGAGTAGTAAGAAACCAAAAAGTAAATAAGCAGACAGAGCTCAGTACCTGTTAAGACATGGGAACGGAGGGAAAGCAAAAATCAAAGACAGCTCATAGATTTTTGTCTTGAAGGGTCCTGATTGTATTATAATCTGATTCCCCTGAATGAGGGGAAATCTGGAGGCAAAGCAGGTTTGGCAGTAAGAGGGACACAAATACAAAAGTAAACACTAATCCTTTGGGGGACTGGTTACATTCAAGATACTCATACCAATCAATATAACATATATTTATAAGGTATCAGTATAAATCAACTGTTTTGTTTTTTTTTTTCTTGCTGTCCATTTAAATCTGTTCTGTTGAGGTACCTGCATGGGTCAATCAGTTAAGTGGCTGCCTTCAGCTTGGGTCATGATCTTAGGGCCCTGGGATCTCCTGGGATAGAGCCCCACACTGGGCTTCCTGCTCAGTGGGGAGTCTGCTTCTCCCTCTGCCCCTCCCCCTGCTTGTGCTCTCTCTCTCTCTCTCTCTCTCTCTCTCTCTCTCGCTTTCTCTCAAATAAATAAATAAAACCTTTAATAAATAAACCTGTTCTGTTGATGTAGTTCTTCTGCCCCACTTCACCTGTTTTATTTTCTTCAGTGCATTCATTGCTAGCTCACATATTACATTTATTTGTCTGTTTCCCTTCCCCATCAAAATGTAAGCTCCTCAAGATTAGAGATTTACCTCTTTTGTTTACCACTATGTCCCTCAAATACTGCCTGGCTCAGAGTAGGTGTTTATTAAAATTCTGAGGAAGAGGGAATCCTTGGTGGCTCAGTCAGCTAACCATCTGCCTTTAGCTCAGGTCATGATCTCAGGGTCCTAGGCTAGAGCCCAATTTGGGGCTCAGTGGGAATCTGCTTGCCCCTCTTCCTCTGTCCCTCCCCCTGTTCATGCTCTCTCTTGCTCTCTCTCTCTCAAATAAAATCTTAGAGAGAGAGCAAAAAGAGACAAAATGCATAGGGATGTGGAGAGGGAGAGGGAGAAACAGACTACCCCCCTGAGCAGGGAGCCCAACATGGGGCTCAATCCCCGGACCTTGAGATCATGACCTGAGCCGAAGGCAGCTACTTAACTGAGCCACCCAGGCACCCAAAATCTTTAAAAAAAATTTGAGGAAGACAGTAACAAGCACATGGGAAGATGCTAAAACATGACAGTAAAAGGAGTTAAACTACAAAATAAAATTTTAATAAGAAATCCATGTGTGAGTAAAAAAAAGTAGCTCCCTTATCCTTTGTGGGTAGGAATAGGGAAATGGAGAGACAGAAAGGATGTAAGATAGAACTAACATTCCATTCCTATAATGATTTCTAACCAGGAGATGGGGAAGGTGGGCTGTGACTTCTCCAAATCCACTCCTAAAAGAAGCTCTACTCCAGGTCCTCAGGACACACAAGAGTGGAGAACTGAAGGGGAGAAGTGGCAGGTAGATCTGGAAGCAGTAGACCCAGTCACATGGCTACAAGGTTTAACTGTAGTTACCTTAGGATGAGAAACCTGTGTTGTGTGAACAGCTCTATTTCTATACATTTTACATTTTTTAATTTGGGGGCTTTTACTTAAATTTTCCTACAATGGGGTATCCCTGGGTGGCTCAGTGGTTTAGCACCTGCCTTCAGCCCAAGGCGTGATCCTGGAGTCCCGGGATGGAGTCCCACATCAGGCTCCCCGCATGGAGCCTGCTTCTCACTCGGCCTGTGTCTCTGCCTCCCCCCCCCTCCCTCCCTCCCTCTCTCTCTCTCTCTCTCTCTCTCTCTCTCTGTCTTTCATGAATAAATAAATAAAATCTTAAAAAAAATTTTCCTACACTGAATTTAGTACATCGTCCTTTTGAAAATTTTCTGCCTGTCTGGGTTGAATTAAGGGGAACAAAATTTGGGGCCTGGCTTGGGCATGATAAGTGGTAAATGGTAAAGATGATGGTGAAACAAAAGAAGGGTTAACATTCATAAGAGGGAGGTGGGAAAATCTGATAGCTCACCCACCAGAGGGCATGTCCATTGTGTAATAACTCCCAGGGCAATTCTCCTCATTCCCTCTGAATAAAGGAAGCTGCTTCTCGGGTTTCTTTTACCCAATCCCTTGCCTTGTTTGGGGTAAAGGGGTGCAGCCCACTGCCTCCTCTCTTCCTAAAAACCTGTCATACAGAGACACTCCCAGCTGCTCAGATTTTGGTATCAGCAATTGCTGCCCGTGTATGGCAAAAATGACCATTCCAGCTCTCACCTCATACTGGGCCCCATCCCTCTCTATCTTCTGCTGAGGGTCAAGGAAGTGACCTTCAGAATTGGCCTCTTTCTTCTTTCTCTCATGAAAACATAGAGGTTCTTTTTCCAGAAGGGATGATCCTTTGTTTCTGTAGGAAGGAACCAGAAAGTATTCTCTTAAATACCCAACTCAATTGTAGCATTTATTTTTTTTTTTTTACTTTGAAGTTGCTGAGTTCAATATGAATCAATCTACACATTTTTATTTAAAAGAAACTCAAGGGATCCCTGGGTGGCGCAGCGGTTTGGCGCCTGCCTTTGGCCCAGGGCGCGATCCTGGAGATTCGGGATCGAATCCCACGTCGGGCTCCCAGCGCATGGAGCCTGCTTCTCTCTCTGCCTATGTCTCTGCCTCTCTCTCTCTCTCTCTCTCTGTGACTATCATAAATAAATAAAAATTAAAAAAAATATATATTAAAAGAAACTCAAATAAATAGCATTATCTTGTTCTAAAAATAGTTTCATTTGCAATCTCTTTGCTGCTTAATCAAACAGCTAACTGAGGCTCTTTCAGAGTACATAACCCCCTCATAGAGCTGTTCGTTGTGTCTTCCTGAGGAAGGTCTAACTGCCAAAGACAAATATGCCTTCTCCACCCCCAACGCCATAACTGGGACGTTTCCCTAATTTATAGACAGAGGGTAGCTCATAGACTTAAGCCTCTAGTCTAAAATATAGGCACACTAATATGCAATATTCTCCTCATATCTGAGTCCTACTCTGCTAGAGGAGATATTTGAGGACTCCCCTTCTTTTATATCATATATAGAAATTAAATAGGATTCAAATGTTTAATATCCTAACACCTGACCCAAACAGATCCACGAGACTGTGACACTTGAGGGATTGTAGAGAAACTTCTCTTTTGAAACCTAGTATGAAAGAGTGATTTTAACTTATTCCATCTTTTAAAGGCCTTTGGCTACCAAGTGAATAGGGCTTAGTTCCAATACTTCCTATTATCCCTTAATTTCAACTCCCATTCAAAAAGCAGTCAATTGTTTGGGTTTGTTTTGTTTTGTTTTGTTTTTAAGATTTTATTTGTTCATGAGAGACAGAGAGAGAGAGAGAGACAGAGGCATGAGAGAGAAGTAGGCTCCATGCAGGGAGCCCAAAAAAAGCAGCCAATTGTTAAACCACACCTCTAGGACACTGAGAAGTCCACAATGTCCAGCTCCAGCTCTAATAGTCCTCCGTTTCTAAAATTAGTAACTAATCATTCTCTCTGCTGCCCATGCCAGCATCAAGCATCTCTGAAAGTCCTCTGGCTTCTGCCACACTGCATTTATTCATCAAATTCTGAGCCTATTCAGAAAAAGGAAAGGGTACTGCAGCTTACTTTGGGGCTTTTTTGGAACAGAGAATTGTATGCCAACCTCCTAAACAACATCACCAAAGCTCATTTTTCTTTTGCTTTAGTAGGTTCTTTATTATTATTATCAACAGTTTTACTAGGTGTAATTTACACACCATAAAATTCACCCATTTTACATATAGAAGTCAATGATTTTTAGTATATTTAGAGTTGTACAACCATCACCATGACCTAATTTTAGAACATTTCTGTCAGTCTAAAAACCTCATTCTCATTTACAATTACTATCCATTCCCAACCCTAGCCCTAGTCCAACAACAATCCACTTCTTATCTCTATAGATCTGTCTTTCTTGATATTTCCTAGAGATAGAATCATATATGTGTTCTTTTGTGATTGTCCTCTTTTATAAAGTATAATAGTTTTTACGTTCATTCATTTAGTAACATCTATCTGTACTTCTCTTCCTTTTAATCATCAAATACTCCATGTATAGTTATAGCATTTATTTTATTTATTTATTTATTTATTTATTTATTTTAAGATTTATTTATTTATTTTTATTTATGATAGACACAGAGAAAAGAGAGAAAGAGGCAGAGACACAGGAGGAGGGAGAAGCAGGCTCCATGCCGGGAGCCCGACGCGGGACTCGACCCCAGGACTCGGGGATCGCGCCCTGGGCCAAAGGCAGGCGCCAAACCGCTGAGCCACCCAGGGATCCCCTAGCACATTTTTTTAAAAGATTTTTTTAAAAGCGAGAGACAGCACAAGAGGAGGAACGGCAGAGGGAGAGGGAGAAGCAGACTCCCTGCTGAGCAAGGAGACCAACATGGGGCTCAATCCTAGGACTCCAGGATCATGACCTGAGCTGAAGGCAGACACTTAACTAAGCACCCGGGCACCCTGGATATAGCATATTTAATTTATCCATTCACTAGCTGATGAATATTTGGGTTGTTTCCACTTTTTGGCTATTGTGAATAATATTGCCAAGATCACTTACATGTAAGCCTTTATTCGAACCTATGTTGCCATTTCTCCTAGGTAGAAGTTGAATTGCTGGGTCACATGGTCATTTAACTTTTAACGTTTTGAGAAACTGCCAAAGTATTTTCCAAAGTTGCTGTACCATTTTACATTCCCTGCAGCAACTCTGAGGGATCTCATTAGTCGCAATCAGATAGTTAAACATGTAATTATATAGAGAAATCTCTTACTTTAATTCCGTACCTAGGCAATTGAGATGATTCCCTCTGTCACACACTACCACCACTGTTCTCATAACATCTTTTCACTCTGGGTATACCTACTATCCACCAAAATTAGTCCAAAATTCCATTTTGTTTCAATTCCAATTAAAAATCTCCTAACCTTTGGGTTGTTAACAATTTATTTTCTGTGATTATTTCTGAATGTTTTAGCAATTTTTTTTTTTTTTTTTTTTTTTTTTTTTTTTTGCAATTTGTTCTTTAAAACCAGACAAAGTTAAGGAAAGTTGCCACTTCACCCAGACATGGAGGCAGGAGATGCCTGAGGTCACACCACAGGACTGTGGTATATGCCTCAGTACTGCTCCAGCAACATGAAAGGATGGCAGGGGGTAGAAACACAGCCAAGCATTTTTAAAGGAAAAAAAGCAAAGTTATGGAATAACAGACTTACTTGTAAATAACTGCTTTTTTTTCTTGCTGAGATTCCACAGGATGAGAAGCTCTTGTCAAAGGTTTCAAATCAAAACTACAATCATTAAAATTCATTTTCACTTTTAACCTTTAACAAGATAACATCTGTGAGGACACTTTGAAAATAAAACTATCTTACATGTATACAGAAATTATTGTTACACATTGACTGCTATATATATTGTCCAAAAGACCAAAGACCATTATTTCAAACTAGTGTACATTCTTGAGTGTTTAAGAGTTACTGAAACCATGATAGAGATTGGTTACTGAGAACCTAGAACTAGGGAGACAAAGTTGAAAGCACTCCCTCTCTACTAGGAGCTTATACTGTAATGTAAAAAGAAGCCATAGCAATTGTGTCATGTATGAGCATAAACATAAAGTGCTTTCCCAAGGGAGATCTGAAACACTCCAATTCCTATCCTATGTTACCATTCGATTCCTCCAGTCTTACCCCTTCTTGAGAGCTGACTGCAAGAGTGATACTGGCCCTGTGAGGAGCATCTGCTTTGCTGATACAGATTATGTCAGAACTGGTATGGTCCTGAGGCCAGTAGCAAGAAGAAATTTCCTGATCACAGCAGAAATAACATATACCCCTCGGCCAGGGAGTTCTGCATCGTGATTTTGGAACCTGTTTCTGAAACTCAGCCCTGTTTCTTAGGACTTCCCAATTTCTGTAAGCAGTAGAAAGCTTCAATCAATGACTCCTTTTCTAGGGTAGATTCAGTCATTTGAAAGTGAAAGTGTGGGCGTTATCCTAACTTTCTCAGTTTATCCAGCATGCAAATATTTGGCCACACAAAGAACTAATGGAAAGGATCAATCTGATCCTGATTTAGTCCGAATGGATTTTCCTAGAGAATGTGAATTTTGAAATATGTTTTGAGAAAAGGAAATAAATGAGTATAGCAAACATCTGGATTAGTATATAAAATAAAAAGATAAGGGGCTCAGGTCATAATCTCAGGGTCATGGAATTGAGCCCCACGTTGGGCTCCATGCTCAGTGCTTAAGTCTGCTTAAGAGTCTCCCTCTGCCTCCCCACCGTACTCTCTCTCTCTCTCTCTCTCAAATAAATAAATATTAACAAAATAAAAAGATGGAAAGATTTCCTGTATTGATATATCTGAGAAGGGCTAATGCATTGGGTCATTTCTCTGCAGGAGCTTTTTCTAAGCAAGCCTTTCCTTAGAACCTTAAGAATGATAATAAATAGTAAAGGAATCCAAGGATAATGAAAACTTTGGAATAGAAGGGTATTATCCAATTAGACCTTCTCAACTACCTTTCTTTTTCCTTATAGCAAACTCTTCCAACAGTCTATAATACATCTTTACCTGAAAGGACCACCAGTGTATAAAACTCAGTATGAACAAAATTGAACTTATCCACTACCTTTCTGAATCTGTTCCTTTGTGCTCCTCCCTTTTGCTAATGGCATCATCATTTTCCTAGTGACCTACAATTAAATATCAGGATCTTCTTTGACTGCCACCTCTGGTCACTATATTTAATAATTACTTGTTCATGAAGCAAACATTGACTTTGTGCCACCCAATTACTATCCTTAAGGAATTTACACTACATGTAAAGATAGAATATATATGACATGTATATATGTGGAACAAAATATATATATTAATGGCTGACTAGGAGCTCTGAGACAGTGAACTTAAACAGTTTTGTTTATATACTCTTAAGAATTTTGAAAAATCACATATCCTCTTCTACATTTTATTATTTTTTAAAATTTATTTGACACAGAGAAAGAGACAGAAAGAACACAAGCAGGGAAGAGAGTCAGAGGGAGAGGGAGAAGCAGGCTCTCTGCTGTGCAGAAAGCTTTATGTGGGTTTTGATTCCAGGATCCTGAAATCATGATGTGAGCCAAAGGCAGATGCTTAACCGACTAAGCCACTCAGGCACTGCCTTCCTTGTACATTTTTTTTAAAGATTTATTTATTCATGACGGGGGGCGGGGCAGAGACATAGGCAAAGGGAGAAGCAGGCTCCATGCAGGGAACCCCACATAGGACTTGATCCCGGGTCTCTAGGATCACACCCTGGGCTAAAGGCAGCGCTAAACCGCTGAGCCACCAGGGCTGCCCTACCTTGTACATTTTAAAGCTAACACCTAAAGTTTTCATTGTAAGTTTAAATAAGTTTGTTTCTTGTTAAGAGGAAATTTTTAAAATATCAAGTATTTATTGGGATAAAATGAGTGTTGGTCTTACTACAAAACTTTTAGAATATTTATTTGATACAATAGATTTTAACCATCATATTGATAAAGCACACCAAATCTGAAAGCAATCACATAACACTGTTAGATGAGGATTACAGCCAATGTATTTTGAAAATTTTGGCAGTCACACAAAATATTCCAGTTATATTGAAAGAAAAGTATCACTAAATTATCTAACTTTATTCCAAATTCAGAGCAACCCAACAGAGACTAAGTACTCTGGCTTGCTTTTTTTTTTTTTTTTTTTTTTTTTTTTTTTTTTAGATTTATTTAAGAGAGAGCACAAATGTGCAAGCCAGGAGAGGGACAGAGCAAAAGAGACAGTATCTCAAGTAGACTCCCCACTGAGTGCAGAGCCTGACTTGGGGCTTGATCCCATGACCCTGAGATCATGACCTGAGCTGAAATCAAAAGTCTGATGTTCAATTCACTGAGCCATCCAAGCGCCCCTACTACCCTGATTCTAAGGCAAGCCTTTAAATCAGTCAACTAATTAAAGTGAAATAAAATATATATGACAAGGAAATGCAGAAAGACCTGTGGGTTGAATTTCCTTGCTTCATCATTAAAAGAAGTCTCTCTAAAGCCAGTATTTTTATTTATCCCTTTATTTGGTACCCTAGAATTTTTTTTATACCCAGGTTGAAAGGCAGAACTTTCTTTTAAAAGTGGGTTAAGAGGGCAGCCCAGGTGGCTCAGCGGTTTAGCACCGCCTTCAGCCCAAGGCACGATCCTGGAAACCCGGGATTGAGTCCCACCTCGGGCTCCCTGCATGGAGCCTGCTTCTCCCTCTGCCTATGTCTCTGCCTCTCTCTCTCCCTGTGTCTGTCTCTCTCATGAATAAATAAATAAAATCTTTAACAACAACAAAAAAAAAGGTGGGTTAAGAAATAATGTGAATGCAAGCCTGTCTCCAAGCAGATCAATATTTAGGAGGAGAACAAATAGACTTCAGAATCTAGAAATTGAGTCCCTCTACACTATTAGTGAATAGAAGCCCTCACTATATATACTAGTTTGAAATTCACTTCTTTGAGGGAACCCACTCACTCTTTGAGGCTTCACTAATCTCACAAGAAAGAAAAAAGCTCTTTAACACACACACACACACACACACAGTAGAGGCCAGGAGTGTGGGAAGCTGGGTCTGTAGTGGTGGGCAGCAAGAATGAGTAGAATACAACTGAAGGCACATGCCAACAACAGAGTTAACAAGATACTGAGCCATGTGGGGATGCTAAACTTGAGACTGTCACACTGAGCTTATAAGCCTATGGACTTTTGAAGGGAGCTGATGCCAGCCCAGGTTGATGATATCCCAGCCACCAGCAGAGACAGAAACAGAAACAAATTCTCCCCCTGTTTGGGCCAATAAGCTACCCAAAGATAAAACTGTATAGTTAAATCACAAATAAAATTCACTAAGCAAAGCACACAAGAAGGAAAACCATTATAATTGAGAGTTAGCAGGGAAAAACAATAGATTTAGCTTCCCAAAAAATAAAGAATTTGAAATAATCAGATACAGAATATAGTATACCAATGTATTTTATATTTTAAAGAAAGAAATGATCCAGTCATCATGATAACAGTAAGAGTCTATCAGGAATGAACAAGCATATTGGAAGAAGGAAATTTAAGAAATTTAAATGTTAATATTGAACACAGTGAGAAAAGAATTAGTAAATTTGAAAATATATCCAAAGAAATTACCTAAAGAGATGGAAAATGTGAAAGATATTAAGATATAAGAAGATCTGGGATGCTGGGGTGGCTCAGTTGGTTAAGCATTCGACTTTTGATTTGGGATCAGGTCATGATCTCGGGGTCCTGAGATCCAGCCCCCATAAAGCTCTCTGCTCCGTAGGGAGTCTGCTTCCCTTCTCTCTCCTTCTGCCCCTCTCCCTGCTTGTGCTTGCTCTCTAATAAATAAATCTTTAAAAAAAGATTCTCTCTCCCTCTGCCCCTCCTCCTCAAAAAAATATTTAAAAGTCTAATATATGTCTAATTTGAGAATTAGAATGGAAAGAATGAAGAAAAATCAATAAAGAGATCAGTGCTGCAAATTTTCCTGACTGATGAAAACAGAATATAGAGATACAGGAAGCACAATATATACCAGTAGGTTAAATAAAAAGAAACCCATACATAGACACCTGTAGCAAGAGTGCAGAACACTAAAAACAAAACAAAACAACAACAAAAAAATTATAAGCAGCCATAGAGAAAGGATGAAAATCGGAATGACAGCAGACTTCTTATAAATAACAGAAACCAAAAACAAGAGAATTATATATTTAAAGCATTAAGAGAAAATAAATATCAACCTAGAATTTTGTATTCAGCAAATTATCTTTAAAGAAGGAGAGTAAAGATATTTCAGAGGATCCCTGGGTGGCTCAACGGTTTAGCGCCTGCCTTCGGCCCAGGGCGTGATCCTGGAGCCCCGGGATCAAATCCCATATCGGGCTCCCTGCATGGAGCCTGCTTCTCCCTCTGCCTTTGTCTCTGTCTCTCTCTCTCTCTCTCTCTCTCATGAATAAATAAATAAAATCTTAAAAAAAAAAGATATTTCAGATACACCAGAATTGAACATTAAAGGCTGAACTTCAGAAAAACAAAGTCTCTGAAACTATGGTATAAAATAGAAGCCAGATGACAACCATATGGATTCCATCTTCTATGTAACTGTCTCTAATCTCTACACTCCTACAGATCTGTTAACTTTAGACAGTAAGTTTTCTCCCGGATTCACCCAAACTAGAGATCATTTAAATTAATAAAACCATATAAACCACACACTGAATAATTTCAATGATAAGAAATTGATGCTTCTCTTCATTTTAAAAAAAAAATTAGAGAGGTAACGGCAGAGGGAGAGAAGAATCTTAAGCAGGCTCCACACCAGCACAGAGCCTGATACAGGGCTCAATCTCATGACCCTGAGGTCTGACCTGAGCCAAAATCAAAAGTTGAAAGCTTAACTGACTGAGCCACCCAGGAGCTCTTTCATTTTTAAACAATTTTTATCCAGGATCCTACTTTTATATTTTCTACTAGGCTGCATTAAATATTCCTCCTCTGCTTCCATAACAACCTATGTGTATCAGTATTATCACATCTGCCACTTTGTAATGGAATTCTTTAAATAGCTATCTTCTCTATTGTGAATTCTTTATTTTTTTTTCTTAAAGATTTTATTTATTTATTCATGAGAGACACACAGAGAGAGGCAGAGACACAGGGAGAGGGAGAAGCAGGCTCCATGCAGGAAGCCCAACATGGGACTTGATCCCTGGTCTCTAGGATCACACCCTGGGCCGAAGGTGGCACTACACCACTGAGCCACCTGGTATGCCCTATTGTGAATTCTTTAAAGGCAATTACAACTCAATATATGATTCTCTGATTGAATTAATTTGATATATGGGTTGAATTGTGTCCCCCAGAAAAAATATGTTCAAGTCCTAAACTCTGACACTTGTGAATGTGAGCTTATCTGGAAATAAGGCCTTTGCAGATGTAATCAAGTTAAAATGAGGTCATAATGGGGCAGCCCTGTGGCTTAGTGTTTAGCACCACCTTCAGCCCAGGGCGTGATCCTGGAGACCCGGGATCGAGTCCCACATCGGGCTCCCTGCATAGAGCCTGCTTCTCCCTCTGCCTGTATCTCTGCCTCTCTCTCTCTCTCTCTCTCTCTTAAATAAATAAATGAATGAATGAATGAATGAATGAATGAATGAATAAATAAATAAATAAATAAAATATTTTTAAAAATGAGGTCATAATGGATTAGGATGGGCTCTAATCTAGTGACAGATATTTTAAGAGGGGAAATAAGAGGAGCACCTAGGTGGCTCAGTCAGTTGAGTGTCTGACTCTTGGTTTCAGCTCTGGTCATGATATCAGGGTCATGGGATTGGGCCCTGCATGGATCCCCAAGCTCAGCATGGAGTCTGTTTGTCTCTCTCTCCCTATCCCCACTTGTACTTTCTCTCTCAAAGAAATAAATGAAACTTTTAAAGAAAAAAAAGGGGGGGGGGCGACGCCTGGGTAGCTCAGCGGTCGAGCATCTGCCTTTGGCTCAGGGCATGATCCTGGAGTGTCAGGATCGAGTCCCGCATCCGGCTCCCTGCATGGAGCCTGATTCTTCCTCTGCCTGTGTCTCTGCCTCTCTCTGTGTGTGTGTCTTTCATGAATAAATAAAATCTTTAAAAAAAGAAAAAAAAAAGGAGGGAAATTGGATACCGACACAGAGGGAAGAAGACCACATGACAATGGAGACAGACATTAGAGTGGTAAGACTGCAGACCAACTAAAAAGATGGCCAGCAGCCACCAGCAGCTAGGAAACAGGCAAGGAAGAAGCCTCCCCTAGAGCCTTCATAGAGGGAATGACAATGCTGACCTCTCAATTTTATACTTCTAGCTCTCAGAACCAGGAGAGAATAAACTTCTATTGTTTTAAACTATCCAGTTTGTAGTACTTTGTTACAATTGCCTTAGGAAATTAATACATAAAATAACAATTCTCAAAACCAAATTCCTCTCTGATTCTTCCTTTTCCCTGGCCCTCCAAATCTGGCCACCAAAGTCTAAAATTCCTTTGTTTTATCACATCCATCTCTTCATTTCATTCCTTTTGCCACTATATTGAGGCCTATATCAACACAACATAGATCCTTATAAAAACTTCAAAGATCTCCGACTTCCAGGCCTATCTTATCTTTAATCATACACATCATATGCCAGATAAAATTTTCCAGCTTTTTATGCTTTCCTCAACTATCCTCAATGACTCTCTATATCCACATGACAAAATCTAAATTTTTAAGCTGGCATGGAAGGCTTTTCACAAAATGGGTCCAACCTAGTTTCACAGACACTGAAGAAGAACCAAACTGAGTCTATGAGGAGGCATCGCACATGATGAGATAGCAAACATAACTGGCACACATATTTAAGCTGCGTGGAGATCACATGTTCTTATCCTACCAATATGGAAACATCTTTCCTTCCTGGCCAATAGACATGTCTTATCAAGGAAATTATTTTCTGTTACTATGCTTCTATATCAGTAGGTTGGTCCAGTAATAAATGTGAGACCTTTAAGCTGAGCTGCTGTTGTGTTCTAATCTGTGAAGTACTGAATTCCCCCTCCTGTCAGATCTCATATAGCACTGTCTGATAGAACTTTCTCCAGAGATAAATATGGCCCTTGACAACCAAGTATTTAAAGTGTGGCTAGGGGGTGCCCATGTGGCTCTGTCTGCTAAGCATCTGCCTTTGGCTCAGGTCATGATTCCAAGGTCCTGGGAGTCTGCTTGTCTCCCCCTCTCTATCCCTCCCTACCCCTGCTCATGTACTCTTTTTGTTTTTAATCTTAAAAAAAAAAAAGTGAAAGCAATCAATAAAATCACATTCAGAATAACCCTAGCATGGAAACTATCAGAGAATTTGTTTTTATTTTAAAGATTTTTATTTATTTATTCATAGAGACACAGCTAGAGAGAGAGGCAGAGACACAGACAGAGGGAGAAGCAGGCACCATGCAGGGAGCCTGATGTGGGACTCGATCCCGGGTCTCCAGGATCACGCCCTGGGCTGCAGGCGGCACTAAACCACTGCACCACGGGGGCTGCCCAACTATCAGAGAATTTAAAATAACTATGACTAATATGTTAAAGAATCTAGTGGAAAGGTGAACTTGTATAAACAAAATTTTAGGAGAAACGAGAACTATACAAAAAAATTAAATGGAAATGCTGGAAATAAAAGTCACATCGGAGGGTACCTGGGTGGCTCAGTTGGTTAAGCATCTGCCTTCAGCTCAGGTCATGATCGCAGTGTCCTGGGATCAAGTCCTGCATGAAGCTCCCTGCTCAGCAGGGAGTCTGCTTTTCCCTCTGCCCCTCCTCCCTGCTTGTGCTCATCTTGCTCTCTCTCTCAAATGGTTACATAATTTTTTTTAAATCACATTGGAGACAAAGAATTCCTCTGGCAGGCTGATCAAGAGATGAGACTCAGATGAGGAAAGGCTCTGTGAACCTAAAGATAGGTAGTAAAAATTGTGCAACTGAAATACAAGTAGAAAAAAATTTTAACACAAAAGTACAAATTAAGACCTATGGAGCTATGAGACAATATCAAATGGTCTAATATACATATAATTGGAGTCTCAGAAGGAAAAGAAAAACAAAGAATGGGGCATGAGAAATATTTGAAGTGATAAAGGTTTCAAATTTTTCAAAAAAAAAAAAAAAGTAATGAAAGATGTTAAACCACAGATACAAGAACCTCAGAGAACCCTAAGCAGGATCAATAGAAAGGAAAATACGAAGAACAAAAACAACAAAAAACACCTAGACACATCACACTGTAGCTAATGAAAAGCAAAGAGAAAATCTTGAAAGTGCCCAAGAAAAAAGAAACATCAAAAATAGGAACAAAGACAAGAATTATAGATTTCTCATTGAAAAATGAAATGTTTGGGGGTGCCTGATGGCTCAGTTGGTTAAGCAACTACCTTTGACTCAGGTCATGATCTCAGGGTCCTTGGATCGAGCCCCATATTGGGCTCCCTGCTCAGCAGGAAGTCTGCTTCTCCCTCTCCCTCTGCCCCTCTCCCTCACCCCTTGTATTCTTTCTCGTTCTCTCTCAAATAAATAAAATCTTTTTTAAAAAAAGAAGAATGAAATTTAAAATAATCAGAACTATGACAAAAATTTATACTGTCTCAAGAAGAGTTTTCAAATTCTAAGAGGTTCCATAATTTCTATTATATTAACCATTACCTGCTCCTTTTACAAAATTCACTTTCTATGTAGGTTGTAGGCACCTTAAGCCACTCATTTGGAGTCATAAAATGCCTTGAGTTAGAAATACTTGGGAATCTGGAATGCAGTTTGGCCTTTTCAGTCTCTTTAAATTCTTTCATTGTATATATCTTGCCTGCAGAAAGATTAGTAACCTAAATTAGCACCCTTAAATGCAACTCCCACTGCTCTTGAGTTATGAAATCACATAACAATTAGGCACTAAGTACCAGTTTTACACTGAAGAAGAGTTCTTTTTTCATCATCTTTGTTATATTGTGCCTTTTTCAAAGGGTCACGAAATGGTGGAATGGTAACCTGCAAGAAAAGCATGTCTTTGAGGACAGGATTGCAGGTCTTTTTCAGTCTATCCTAAGCATCTGTGTATGGCTATCATGCCAGAAGAATCAAGAATATGGTATCTACAAACTACTTAAGTAACCATTATACATATTTAACACATTACAAAGAAATGAGGGCACTCCAATACATCTCTTAGTATGGTCCTCCAGCCATGGTTGGCTCTCTTTTAACAGCTTTTTCAGATCATTTATGGATATTCTTAGACACTATCCCCGAACTCAATAAGTGGTACTTTCTTAAAGGTTATGATATGGTGGGCTGCCCTAGTGGCTCAGCGGTTTAGCACCAACCTTCAGCCTGGGATGGCATCCTGGAGATCCAGGATTGAGTCCCATGTTGGGCTCCCTGAATGGAGCCTGCTTCTCCCTCTGCCTGTGTCTCTGCCTCTCTCTCTCGGTCTCTCATGAATGAATAATTAAAATCTTAAAAAAAAGTTATGATGTGGAATCTGCAACTATATGAATAAATTATTCAAACTTGACTACATTAAAATACATTGGTCTACCTTGAACTTTGAATGGATTTTTTATCTATGTCATGGGTTGCTTATTTGGGAAAAAATTATATCGCTGAGTAAGGTGAGATCTTCCAAATGTTAATACATTTCATTATGCTATAATCACATTCATTAAAATCATTACCAAGCTCATTAGAAGAGTCTAAGAGAATGAGGAAGCTGTCACACTCATGATATTTTTCCAAAATTCAAAATTTTTGCTTGAAAACTCACATTTTATCATTGGCAACAAATATTGCCAGTTGTTTTTCTTGAAATGACAGACTTATTTTATTAATTTTCCAGAAATTGTCTGCCAAATATCTAATACTTAATAACGAGTTTGTAAGACATTCTTTCAAGTAAAAATAATGTACCATGAAAAAGAAATTTAACCAGTATAGCTCACAATCCAATCAATCATCCTGCATTTCAAGTGGGCATCAGAAATGCTCTTGGCATGCTTCCCATTTCATCACACAGAATATTAAAAAGATGTGTATTCAGGAGTAAGATTTAATAAAATTAATAATTTTTAATGTTTGATCAAGAACATTCTTTTTAAGATTTTATTTATTTGACACAGAAAGAAAGAGAGAGCACAGCAAGGGGAGCAACAGACTCTCTGCTGAGCAGGGAACCTGATATGGGGCTTGATCCCAGGACCCTGTGGTCATGACCCAAGCTGAAGGCATATGCTTAACTGACTGAGTCACCCAGCACCCCTGATCAAGGATATTCTTTTTTTTTAATGTATTCATGAGAGACACAGAAAGAGAGTCAGAGACATAGGCAGAGGGAGAAGAAGGCTCCATGCAGAGAGCCCAATGTGGGACTCGATCCCGGGACTCAGGATCACGCCCCGAGCCAAAGGCAGACACTCAAAGACATGCATCCCTGATCAAAGATATTCTTAAGTGAAATTGAATTTTACTGTGAGTACCTGACAATGAAGAATATAACGACAACCAATATGATTTGGTGATACTGACTTAAGCCATTCTAAGATACCAGTAGTTTTACCCACCACTGCTTTTGCACCATCAGAATAAATATCAACAATATGAAAAAGGTAAATGGTATTTGGCACTATTATGAAAATACTTGGCCTAATGGATCCCAAAAGGGTTTCAGGGCTCTCAGAGGTCTATATTCCTCACTTAGAGAACTGCTGTTATAATGTCAAAATGCTCAGCTTAACTTAAGAGGCCATCTATCAGCTTCATTTAGAAAGTCAGCATAGTAAAAGAACTAAAATGTTGATACAAAAAGATCTGGTTTCAGGGGCACCTGGGTGACTGTCAGTTAAGCCTTTAACTCTTGATTTCGGCTCAGGTCATCATCTCAGGGCATGAGATCAAGCCCTGAGCTGGGCTCCACACTCAGAGGGTAGTCTGCTTGAGATTCTCTCCCTCTCCCTTTGCCTCTGCCCTTCCTCCCCCACCCCCTAGAGGGTACCCGCTCTCTGTCTCTCTAAAATAAATAAAATAAATCTTTTAAAAAATCTAGTTTCAAATCCTAGTTCTGCCCCTTACTAATTATGTTACTAGCTAGCAGAACTAAAGTTCTGGCTGTTAAACTCTATTTAACTTCTACCTATTAAAATAGGGACAATAATATACACACAACCCAATTTGGGGGGGAAAAAAAGAACAAAAAAACCTACTTTGTCTGCAAATGCCAGCAGTTTAAAATGTCTATGACTCAAGCTAGGTCTATGACTCAAGGATTTTAATTTTGTTTACTAATATCCACTACTAGCAAGTGTGGGAAAATGGACTCTCCGGTGGAGGTATAAATTTATACAACCATTCTGGAGGACTATTCAGCAATATGAATCAAAATTATGCATAACCTTTAACTCAGCAATTCTACTTCTAGCAAGTTATCCTAAGGTAAACCTTAAGAAATAAATACTTAGGGCAGCCCTGGTGGCGCAGCGGTTTAGCGCCGCCTGCAGCCCAGGGCGTGATCCTGGAGACCCTGGATCGAGTCCCACGTCAGACTCTCTACATGGAGCCTGCTTCTCCCTCTGCCTGTGTCTCTGCCTCTCTCTCTCTCTGCATCTCTATGAATAAATAAATAAATAATCTTAAAAAATTAAAAAAAAGAAAGAAATAGTTAAAGGGAAATTCACCATAATGTCACTTGTAACAGCAACAGGTCAAAAATAAGCTAGATGTTCAAAGTAGGAATATGTTTTAAAAAAAGATGATATGCTCTGCTAGTTACAGCTGTGTGACTCTGGAAAACTAACAACCAATTTGTGTCTTATTTGCCTCATCTCTAAATAACCTCATGTGGTCGCAATGAAGATTAAAAAAAAAAAAAGGTCCTAACATTTGGTTAAGCCCTCAGTGCAAGTTAGTGATTATTTCTTTTTCTTTTCTTTTTTTTTTTTTTTTACAGATTATTTGAGAGGAAGAGAACAAGATGAAAGTGAGTGAAGGGAGGGGCAGAGAAAGAGAGAATCTCAAGCATACTCTACACTGAGCACAGAGCCCAAAGTGGAGCTCAATCTCACAACCCTGAGATCATGACCTGAGCTGAAATCAAGAGATGGAGGCTTAACCAACTGAACCACCCAGATGCCCCAGCTGTTATTAACAGAATACTATGCAATGATTAAAATTACATACTTATATTTATGGATAAAGAAGGAAGCAAACCGGGATCCCTGGGTGGCGCAGCGGTTTGGCGCCTGTCTTTGGCCCAGGGCGCGATCCTGGAGACCCAGGATCGAATCCCATGTCGGGCTCCCGGTGCATGGAGCCTGCTTCTCCCTCTGCCTATGTCTCTGTCTCTCTCTCTCTCTGTCTGTGTGACTGTCATAAATAAATAAAAAATTTAAAAAAAAATTAAAAAAAAAAAAAGAAGGAAGCAAACCATAGAACTACTGAGGAAAAAATGCAAATTATAAAACCTAATGTGTTATACCAATTTGTAAAATAAAAATGTATATATACACCTACATATAGAAAGTAGTCTTGGCTATCCAAAAGGATATACAGAAGAATGTTAATGAGTTCATTCTGGGTAATGAAAATTCCAAGTGGTTTTTTAATTCTTTATTTAAAAACAGACTCTGAAGGACGCCTGGGTGGCTCAGCAGTTGAGTATCTGCCTTCGGCTCAGGGCATGATCCAGGAGTCCCTGGATTGAGTCCCACATCGGGTTCCTCACAGGGAGCCTGAATCTCCCTCTGCCTATGTCTCTGCCTCTCTCTCTGTGTCTCTCATGAATAAATAAAATCTTTAAAAAAAAAAACAACAAAAAACGATTTTGGGGGAGCATCTGGGTAGCTCAGTTGGTTAAGTAACTCTTGATTTCAGCTCAGGTCATGATCTCAGCGTTGTGAGACAGAGTCCTGCATAGGCCTCCACGCTGGATGTGGAACCTGCTTAAGATTCTCTCTCCCTCTCCCCATACCCTTCCCCAACCCCCACCCCAACCCCCAACCCCACCCCCACCTGTTCTCTCTAAAAAAAAAATTAATGTATTGTAAAATTTGTAACAAATTTTTAAAGTCTATGAAATTTTTTAATATTACTTGTTATAATTATTACACAATATCTTCAAATTTTATAAAAGTTTAATTTACTTTGGACTTTGGCTTTTTTATTCATCTCTAAGATATGGAGATGGGAAACTATTCTTAAGATGTTACTGCATTCTTAGGAAATAACTAAAGGACTACCCATACATTAGGGCTACTCAAGAAAACAACCACATAATACCAAAAATAAGAAATCTATCCTACCTTAAAAAAATTCGGGTCCTCTTTGCTCATATAAAAAGGATCATACTCTTTTGGATCATAATGCTCTATAAATGCATTTCCCTACAGGAAGAAAGCAAAACTATACATGACAAGAGTTACATAATTAATTTTGAGCAATAACAAGACTCTAGAGTCACACAGTTCCATTCTTCTGCTTTAAAACAGCACATAAATAAATAAATAAATAAATAAATAAATAAATAAATAAATAAAACAGCACCAATGACAACTGCAAAAGGGAAAGCCAAATTTGAAATTAAACTTGATGTAGCCAAGTAATAAATATTATAGTGATAGAAGGAATCTACTTAAAATTTGCAACAATAATGAATGTTGGAACACTAACAGATTTGGGAATTTTGCTTATTAGTCAAATATCTCAGATATCTTAAAAATGTCAAAACAGAAATATTTTATAGCTTTGTAAATAACAAGTTCTAGGAAAAAAAATTTATAGTATATATATACATATATCCATCCTAAATCTAGAGCCTAAATTTCATTAGTATATAAAATTAATAATTACATTAAAAAAGCAAAGAAATATGAATCTAATATGTGCATCTAAATCTAGACCTAACCCTCTTCCCTTCATCCTTTCCACATGCTCTGGACTTAAGAATAGTATATGCTGGGGATCCCTGGGTGGCTCAGCGGTTTCGCACCTCCCTTTGGCCCAGGGCGTGATCCTGGAGTCCCGGGATCGAGTCCCGTGTCGGGCTCCTGGCATGGAGCCTGCTTCTCCCTCTCCTCTGCCTGTGTCTCTGCCTCTCTCTCTCTCTATGTCTATCATAAATAAATAAAAATAAATTAAAAAAATAAAAAGAGAATAGCATATGCTATAACAGAGTAGAGATTATACATATATAGAGTCAGAGGAGCAGGCCGTTTCGATGATTATAATCATAGTTGTAAACCAACTGAAATAAGTATCAAATGAACTCTTTGTACCTTTTTATTTACATGTTTTAAAAAACCATCTAATTCTTCTTGTCTCCTTTTTCTAATCTTCTTGTGTGAACAAACTTTTTCTATAATTTTCTTCTGGAGAGGATGTGCCACATGGTCAGCCCATCTTTTATATAACACCTCTTTTCTTCTTTCATTTAAGAAGTCATGATGTAGTAAATACTTATCTAGTTCCTAATAAACAATGATAGAAAAGGCAATTATCTTAAAGCTATCTTGTTCTAAAATTTAAACTCATTTATATTCCTAATAAAAACTCAAAGTCATTCATTAATTCAATCATTTATTTGGCTTCTACTGAGTGACACACACTATACTGTAAATAATGAATAATACATAGATAAATTAGACAACATGCTTGCTCTGCCTGGAGAGACAGACTACAAAACAAATACACAAAACAACAGGAGGAGGGATAATATAGCAGGATACACACTAAAAAAAAACAGAGACTCATACATCAACGTTCATAGTAACATTAGTCACAATAACCAAAAGGTGAAAGCACTCCAAATGTCTATGAACAAATGGATATATAAACAAAATGTGGTATATACACAAAATGGAATATTAGGCAGCCATAAAATGAAGTTCTGACACATGCTACAACATGGATGAGTCTTGAAAACAATATGCTAAGTGAAATAAGCCAGATACAAAAGGACAAATATTGTAGGATCCCATTTAATGGAATTATCTAGAATAAGCAAATTCATAGAAACAAAAAGTAAATTAGAGGTTATTAGAGGGACCTCTGGGGGCTGGGGGGATGAGAAGTCATTACTTCATGTGTGTAAAGTTTTGACTGGGGTGATGAAAGTTTTAGAAATAGATAATGGTGATGGTTTCACAACATCCATCTATTTGGAAATAGTGATGATGGTTGTACAACATGTGAATGTAATTAAGGTCACTGAATTGTACACTTAAAAATGATTAAAAATAGCAAAGTTATGTTATATATATTTTACCAAAATGGTAAAAAAAAAAAATGACTAGTTTTTCTTTTTTAGGGGCACCTAGGGAGCTCAGTCTGTTGGGCATCTGCCTTTGGCTCTGATCATGACCTCAGGATCCTGGGACTGAGCCCTGTGTCAGGCTCCCTGTTGAGTCCCTCCCTCCCTCCTCTCTCTCTCCCTTCCCCTGCTCATGCACTCTCTCTCTCTCAAATAAATAAAATCTTCCAAAAATTTTTTTTCTTTCTTTTTAATTCCTAGAGTGGGATACCTTTGGGAAGGGCCTTAAAGAATGAACAGTTATCTAGGAAGAGTAGAGATGAGCAAATGTGGAAGTATATTCTATGGAGGAAAAAAAAAATAGAGAGGCACACGCATAGCACAACTTGGATGAAATGGCAAGCAGCCTGTAAAGAAAATGATTTAGACTATCAACTAAAACTTATCCACTTATCTATCTTTCATCTAGCAAATGAAATCATGTGATTCCTACAATCAACATAAAATTCAAAATGAAAAATAAATAAACTAAGAACCTTGAGAGCTTCTCTAGGTTATATCCCTCCCTAGCTTCAGGTCATAGCACTCTCCAACTATTCTTACTGAGTAGCTTCTTTCATTTTTAAACAACTCTAAAGAAAATTTTTCCTTATAGGTTACCTACTCCAATGTTTATTCTACATGGACCTTCATCTTGTCTTATAAATAAGCCCATCCTGCTAGAGTTAAAGCCTTAAAAAAATAAAAAAATAAAAAAAAGCCTTCTTCTTACCTATGCGTACCTGAGTAATAATTGGTCAGCGTCTTCCAAAAACAGCTCTTAAAACTCTTAAGAATACACAGTGACTCTACAGAATCTCCACTAGATGAAAGGAGTTGGGGAAAACACTTCTATAAAAGTATCTGTGTGGGGTGCTGGTGGCTCACTCAGTTAAGCATTTGCCTTTGGCTCAAGTCACGATCTCAGGGTCCGGGGATGGAGCCCCACATTGGGCTCCCTGTTCAGCGGGCAGTCTGCCTCCCCCTCTGCCCCTCCCCCTGCTTGTCGTTCTGTTGCTCTCTCTCCCTCAGATAAATCTTTTAAAAAATAAAAGTATCTGTGAAAGAATCCCCACAACATATAAAGAGAGGAAGGAAGCGGGCACCTGGCAGTCAGTTAACGGTCTGCCTTCTGCTCAGGTCATGATCCTGAGGTCCTCAGATCAAGCCCTATATAGGGCTCCCTTCTTCTCCCTCTATCTCTGCCCCCCCCTCTCTCTCTCTCTCTCTCTCATGAGTAAAGAAATATTTTTAAGCAGAGAGAGAGAGAAGTCAATTAAAGTCTCAGAGATCTCTTAAGGTTAATCCTAAGAGCTGAGTGTTTTTCAATTCTATTTTCTATATTTTCTAAAATTTGTATAATGAGGGGCACCTCGGTGGCTCCATGGGTCTACCTTTGGCTTAGATCATGATCTCAGGGTCCTGGGATCAGGTCCCACATCAGGTTCCCTGTAGGAAACCTGCTTCTCCCTCTGCCTGTGTCTCTAACTCTATCTCTCTCTTTCTCATGAATAAATAAAAATTTAAAAATAAATAAATAAAATAAAATTTGTATAATGATGATGTACTACATCTAAAATGGATAAACAGAATTTTTAATTATGACACATTCTGTAGCCAATTCTTACCTTAATTACATAATTTTCTCTATATAATATTGATTGAATAGCTGTATCAATATCTTCTTTAGCTAATGCCTAAAATGACAAGAATTAAATTTTGAAAATCAAATCTTAAATCAAATTACTGGGGTCCCTGGGTGGCACAGTTGGTTCAGCATCCGACTCCTAGTTTTGGCTCAGGTCATGATCTCAGAGTCCGAGATCATGCCACACGTCAGGCTCCTCACCCAGATGAAGTCAGCTTCAGTTTCTCTCTCCATCTCCCTCTGCCCACCCCCCACTCACTATCTCTCCAAAATAAAAAAAAATAAAATTTAAAACTCAAACTAGAGTTGCTATTCCTGGCAAACTTGTTGTTCTCAAAAACCAAGATGGGTACAGAATTAATATTCAGGACAAAAATATAAAAAACAACAATCTGAAAACACTGGAGTCTGACCAAAAGCAGAGAGAAACAAGAACATAGTCAACCCTTGGAAAAAGAGAATAGCACTGGCATAAGCTTTCAGTTTTTACAGACTTTTGTCTAAAAGCAGGCCTCCGGGATCCCTAGTGGCGCAGTGGTTTGGCGCCTGCCTTTGGCCCAGGGCACGATCCTGGAGACCCGGGATCGAATCCCACGTCGGGCTCCCGGTGCATGGAGCCTGCTTCTCCCTCTGCCTGTGTCTCTGCCTCTCTCTCTCTCTCTCTCTCTCTCTGTGACTATCATAAATAAATAAAAAAAATAAAAAAAAAAAAAGGAAACTGAGAACACTGAATATATTCATTCTCTTGATTGTGGTGATGAATACATACATCAAAATTTATCAAACTGTACACTTTACACATATGCAGTTCATGGTCTATCAGTGAATACCTTAATAAAGATGTTTGGAAAAAAAGAAATTACAATAGTTTTAAAAAACACATAATTTCAGTGATGCAGTTAAAAGAGTGCTTCAGGCCAAAGTTTGTAACTTTGTTATACAGAAAAGATAATTAACAAGGAACCCACCTTAAGAATCTAGAAAATGAATAGCAAACACAAAGTTAGTAGTGACTGAATAAAAAGCAGCAACGAAATAGAAAACACAGGAAAAATACTAAGCACAAGCCACTTTTCAGTGCAACTACTCAAATGCAAAAATGCAAAATGCAAAATAGTAACATCTATTACCTCCACAAAATAAAGTGGCTGTGGTTCCAACCAGTCTTTCGAGCTCTTGGGCCTGTGAAGTTTGTCAGTTGTCAGATCATCACTGACGAAATTTCTCATCGCGGTCACAAATAACACAGCCCCTAGGAAAACTTTAAAAATGCAGCTTATTCAGTTAATGAGAATTCACAACCCTACTTTTCTGTTACTTCACCATCAATCTGCAACCACGAACGGATGAGGAACGGATTCTGAATTAGTAGCCACCCCCACCTTCCTTCGCGAGCGGCCTTCACCACAGTTTCTGGGGAGGCCTTCAGAACTAGCCACTTTGAAGCAGAGGAGGTTCTCCCTGGGCTGACCCCGGCGTCCCCCTCCCCGCCCCCCCCCCCCCCCCGGAATTCCAGGCTTCCCACGTCCTCCAACAGCACTGCCCTCTCGAGCCGGCGCGGCAACTACCACCCGGACCTCTAGGGGTCGCGCTGCAGCAGTTTTCAGACTCAGGACGCGGACCCCCGCGAAGAGCTGCAACTTTCTGGCTACGGAACCCCCACGGGCAGGGCTGCTTGGAGAGGGGGAGGGGCTCTCACACAAAATCTGCATCCCCCCATCCCCTACACACAGAAGGACCGTCATCTGCGGGGGGAAGCGGTCATCAGGGCTTGCACCCGTTGCAGACCTACAGCACCCACCGCCCCGTCCCTTCCCTCCCACCCCGTCAACAAGAGGCGTGCGTGCCCCGCCCTGCCTGACAGGAAAGTCGCAGACCGCCACAGGTACCTCAGCCCCCCGCCCCTCCCAAGACTGGCTGGGCCTTCGGCTCCCTGCAGCACGCGGGGCTCCGGCCCCACGGCCCACGGCCCCGCACTGGTCGGCAGCGACCGGAGAGCGCGCCAGCCGAGTCCCTCAGCCCCGTGAGCTCGGGCCTGTCGCCTCAGAATGACAGAATGTTCGCGTCCAGTGTCTCCTTGACGCAGCGCCGCGCCGCGACAGACGACAAGTCAGGATTCTGTCAAGCGGCCGGAGCCCCGCGGCTACGTCGCTAAGCTTCGCGCAAGTGCGCACGCGAGCCCAGCGCCGCGGAGGAGTCTCCAGGGCGCCAGTGGGGGCCGACCCTGGTGGGCGGGGCGTGGTTAGCGAGCCAAACAGGAGCGCTCCTCGGTGACGGGCAGATGTCTCAGCCAATAGCTAGGCCCGTCGCCTTCCCGCCCCGCCCTCCCCCGCGTCCGTTGACCAGCTGCTGCCCGGCTACCGTGCAGTAGTCGGGTCGGCGGAGCGCTGCTCTCCTTCGTCTCGTCGCTGCGTGGTCCTTTCTGCTCTGGCTTCGGTCACCGCGCCCTCCCAGTCCTGTGCGTCTCCCCAGCCGGCACGACTGGACTTTAGCCCCACTCCCCACCCCCGCCTCTAGTCCCTCTTGGAACCCCCGTGGTGTAAACCACTGCGCGGGAGTGGCCGGAAAGGGGCGCCTGCCCTCAGCATCCCCTAGGAGGAAGAGTGTTTGTGGAGGTTGTCCCTGTGAGGACGGCCCGAGAAAACGTGGGGACTTGTTCGGAAAATGCCGCTTTAAATGCCTTTTTAGTGTATTTAGTCCCCTGCATCAGTGCCCATAGTAGTCTCCGGTGCCGGTCAGGGGTGAGTGAACGTGAAGACCTCAGAACCCGCTGATTGCACCAGTGGCTGCACCTCGCAGGTGTTTGGGTTTATAATCTCAGGTGGTTCTGACGCGAACCATTAGCGTAACTAGATGATGAAGAGCAGTGATTTTCCAAACTCACTGTGTGAACCGCGGTTTTTCCGTTTTCCTCTTGGGAGTATTGATGGCTATTTGGTGACGGACCACCGTGTTCACTCTTCATTTTCACTACTTCCCGAGCGCACACGCTGAAAACTGTCCAAAGAAAGGGCCTTAGGGAGGTTTGTATTCAGGGGCCTTTTCAAAGCTAGCCCGAGCGAATCCTTTCAACTGTAGTTCCCTTTTTCAGAGCTGAGGGAACACATGAGTCACTTGCAGAACTTACTGTTAGATACCCTCCTGGGAACAAAGCATGTGGACAGTGCAGCACTCATCAAACTCCACGAGAGAAGCTTGTGTGTGGCATCGCCAGGATTTAGTGTAAGAAAAAGCAAGTTTGGGTGTAAGCATTTTAACTTTTTTTTTTTTAAATCCATAGTAAACATTTTAGGTTTCTGGACTGTATGACCTGTGTCACAACTGCTATGCGGTTTTAATAGGAAAAAGGGCATATACAATACGCAAAAGAATGGGTGTGACTATGTTCCAACAAATCTTTATGAACACTGAAATTTGAATTTCCTGTAATTTTTACAAATCACACAATACTATTCTAGTGTTTTTATTTATTTTTTATTTTTTATTTTATTTTTTTAATTTTTATTTATTTATGATAGTCACACACACACAGAGAGAGAGAGAGAGAGAGAGAGAGAGGCAGAGACACAGGCAAAGGGAGAAGCAGGCTCCATGCACTGGGAGCCCGACGTGGGATTCGATCCCGGGTCCCCAGGATCGCGCCCTGGGCCAAAGGCAGGCGCTAAACCGCTGCGCCACCCAGGGATCCCTATTTTTTATTTTTTTAAAGATTTTATTTATTTATTCATGAGAGACACACAGAGAGAGAGAGAGAGAGAGAGAGAGAAACAGAGACACAGGCAGAGGGAGAAGCAGGCTCCACACGGGGAGCCCGACATGGGACTCAATCCTCAGGACTCCAGCATCCCGCCCTGAGCCAGAAGGCAGACACCCAACCGCTAAGCCACCCAGGCGTCCCTATTCTAGTGCTTTTTTAAATCTACTGACTTAAAAATGTAAAAACCATTCTTAGCTTGCAGGCCTACAAAAACAAATTTGGGCCAAATTTGGCCAGCCTGCCACAGTTTGCTCACTCTTTACTTCTGCAGGTAATGCCTGGTGATGTCCGAACACTTGTGAATGGATTCGCCAAGAACCCTTTACAAACCAGAAGAGAAGGATTGTATTTCAAGGAAAAGGACTACAAATGTATCCGGGCAGATGACTATTCTCTTTATGCTAAGAATGTGAGTGTTCAGGATTTGAAGACAGCTCGGTAAAACCTTAAGAATTTGATTCCAATTTGCTGATCTCATTTATAAAACATTAGGCCTTTTACTCCAGTGGCAATGTCTGAGACAGAAATCTAATGCTAGAAAGGAATATGTAAAAGAAAGTACGAACAGAGAGCTTAGTTGAGAAACATTCATTCCAGAATCTATCAACTGAACCTTGCCTGAAGTATCTCTTTTCAATACTCTATACTCTACATCCTCCATCTAAAAAAAAAAAAAAAAAAAAAAGTTATACCATTCTTGTACTTAAGACATCTTCAATAAGGAAATAAGGAGATGAAATTCACGTTTACTGGATGCCCTATCTTATGGGTTAAGCACACTTCATCAGCATTATAAAGTAAGTAGCCTCACAAGGTTAAATAACTTCCTTAGTCATGCTGCAGAAAATGGAGGCACTGGGATTCAAGCCCAAAGCTGTCCAGTTCCAAAATGTATTACCTTCTCATTATATCAGTTCTCACTGGGATAGGGGTATATTACAGTCAGTTGGGGAACTTTTTCTAAATACACATGCGATATTACAAGTTCACAATTTTTTTAGAAAAAACAACTAAGTGGAAAATAGTGAAGAGTCCAAATACAGATATGAGTGTATGGAAGTAAAATAATGGCACAAGAAGTGTGACCATAGTATAACTGCTACTCCTCTGACTAGAATCAAAAGAAAACAATCTGTTTTACTTTTATCCAGGAAAAAACTGGTGTGGTGGTTGTGAAGACCCATCTGTATCTTCTGGTGGCAACTTACACCGAAGGCATGTATCCTAGTGTTTGTGTGGAAGCCACAGAGAAGCTGGGTAAGTTTGTCCCCGCCCGCCCCCATGCCTCTTTCCCTATGGTTGTCAGATCTTCTCACTGTCAGTAACTAAGAGCCAATACAAACCACCTAGGGTGGAAAGGAGGAATTTATTGGAAGGATACTAGGGTTACTTACAGATCCACTGGAACAATGGAGTGTAACAGCCATTGCAAAAAATGGACTCCAGGTGATGCTGTTTTGGAATATAGGTGAGGTTTGGTGGGGTGAGGTCTAGGGCCTATGGCCAAGAAAGACTTCTTGAGACATCTTTGGTGCAAAATGGTGGTTTTATCAAAGCATGGGGACAGGACAGGTAGGCAGAAAGAGCTGCCACCCTGGGGTCCTGAGGAGTGGCCCATTATACACTTACAAGTTGGGAGGGGGTTAGAGGTAGCGTAAGCCTCCTAGGTATTTTGGGAACAAGGTTTCCAGGATTTTGAGGGGATTAGCTATTGTTAGGAAAGATCATTTATTACTATTGAGTAAAAACTCAGTCATGAGACCCTTCAGATGTATATCAGTGGGTCATATGCTTGGGGAATGATTAACAACATGTATCTTGGGGGAAGGATAGAGATAAAGGAGGTTTCCAAAGGAAATTTTACATTCGGGCAGCCCGGGTGGCTCAGCAGTTTAGCGCTGCCTTCAACCCACGGTGTGATCCTGGAGTCCCAGGATTGAGTCCCAAGTCTGGCTCCCTGCATGGAGCTTGCTTCTGCCTGTGTCTGTGCCTCTCTCAATCTCTCTCTCTCTCTCCTTCTTTGTATCTCTCATGAATAAATAAATAAAATCTTAAAAAAAAAAAGAAAGAAAGAAATTTTATGTTAAAGTAGACTTACGGGGTCATGGGGTTTTGGCTAGGATTGCCTTTTGTCCTTGGCAAAGTATTAACATCGAGGCAGTTGAGTCCCTAGAAGAATGTCACTGCCTATTTCAAAGACTTGTCAAGGGATCCCTGGGTGGCTTAGTGGTTTAGCGCCTGCCTCTGGCCTAGGGTGTGATCCTGGAGTTCCGGGATGGAGTCCCACATCAGGTTCCCTGCATGGAGCCTGCTTCTCCCTCTGCCTGTGTCTCTGTCTCTCTCATAAATGAATGAATGAATGAATGAATTAAATAAAATTATCTTCAGGGCATGTGGGTGGTTCAGTGGCTGAGCATCTGCCTTTGGTTCAGGTCATGATCCCGGGGTCCTGGGATCGGGTCCCACTGTCTGCAGGGAGCCTGCTTCTCCCTCTGCCTCTCTCTCTCTCTCTGTTGTCTCTCATGAATAAATAAATAAAAATATTTTTAAAAATAATAAAAAATAAAAAAAAATCTTCAGGGCCACCTGGGTGGCTCAGTCAGTTGGGCGTCTGCCTTCACCTCAGAGTGTGGTCCCAGGGTCCAGGGATCAAGCCCCACACATGGGGCTCCCTGCTCAGCAGGAAATCTGCTTCTTCCTCATACTCTCCTTCTGCCACTCTCCCCACTCCCATCCCACTCGTGCTCTCTCTCTCTCTCTCTCTCTCTCAAATAAAGAAAATCTTTTTTACAAAAAGTCTTCAGGAAATGTGTGGGAAATATCAGAAAGGGAGACAGAACATAAAGACTTCTAACTCTGGGAAATGAACTAGGGGTGGTGGAAGGGGAGGAGGGCGGGGGGTGGGGGTGAATGGGTGACGGGCACTAAGGGGGACACTTGACGGAATGAGCACTGGGTGTTATTCTGTATGTTGGTAAATTGAACACCAATAAAAATTAATTTATTAAAAAAAGTCTTCGGGACGCCTCAGTGGCTCAGCGGTTGAGTGTCTGCTTTTCCATCCAGGGCATGATCCTGGAGTCCTGGGATCGAGTCCCACATCAGGTTCCCTGCATGGAGCCTGCTTCTCCCTCTGCCTGTGTCTCTGTCTCTCTCATAAATGAATGAATGAATGAATGAATTAAATAAAATTATCTTCAGGGCATGTGGGTGGTTCAGTGGCTGAGCATCTGCCTTTGGTTCAGGTCATGATCCCGGGGTCCTGGGATCGGGTCCCACTGTCTGCAGGGAGCCTGCTTCTCCCTCTGCCTCTCTCTCTCTCTCTGTTGTCTCTCATGAATAAATAAATAAAAATATTTTTAAAAATAATAAAAAATAAAAAAAAATCTTCAGGGCCACCTGGGTGGCTCAGTCAGTTGGGCGTCT